ATGTGTCGCAGCTCCACGTGTCTGACTCTGACACACTCATATGATACTGTGTCTATAGCAGATATTCAGCTCAGATTAACTCATTACTTCCACACACTCAGAGCTGGACATGTACAGTACAAACACCACAGACATTACACTGCATTTACTGCGCTCAGCTTTCCAGTACACTGATCATCCACAGTATTGTTTTTAGGTAATAATAAAGATTATTTGTTAATTAATTAACTGATTTTATTTATTTATCAGCAACAAACATGCAATTCCAACAAGACATCCAAACAGATCAACTGCTATAGTTGTTGTGTTACCATAGCAACTGTAGAATCACCACAACAGATCAACTACTATAGTTGTTGTGTTACCATAGCAGCTGTAGAATCACCACAAGAGATCAATTACTGTAGTTCTTGTGTTACCATAGCAACTGTAGAATCACCACAACAGATCAATTACTGTAGTTGTTTTGTTACCATAGCAACTGTAGAATCACCACAACAGATCAATTACTGTAGTTGTTTTGTTACCATAGCAACTGTAGAATCACCACAACAGATCAATTACTATAGTTGTTGTGTTACTATAGCAACTGAAGAATCACCACAACAGATAAATTACTGTAGCTGTTGTGTTACCATAGCAACTGTCGAAACACCACACCAGTTCAAGTGCTATAGCTGTTGTGTTACCAAAGCAACTGTAGAATCACCACAACAGATCAATTACTGTAGTTGTTTTGTTACCATAGCAACTGTAGAATCACCACAACAGATCATTTACTGTAGTTATTGTATTACCATAGCAACTGTAGAAACATCAAAGCAGTTCAATTGCTATAGCAGTTGTTACCATAGCAACTGTAGAATAACCACAACAGATCAACTACTACAGTTGTTGTGTTACCATAGCGACTGTAAAATCACCACAACAGGTCAACTACTATAGTTGTTGTGTTACCATAGCAACTGTAGAATCACCACAACAGATCAATTACTAGAGTTGTTGTGTTACCATAGCAACTGTAGAAACATCACAGCAGTTTATGTGCTATAGCTGTTGTGTTACCATAGCAACTGTAGAATTACCACAACAGATCAATTACTGTAGTTTTTTGTTACCATAGCAACTGTAGAATCACCACAACACATCATTTACTGTAGTTATTGTATTACCATAGCAACTGTAGAAACATCACAGCAGTTCAATTGCAATAGCAGTTGTGTTACCATAGCAACTGTAGAATCACCACAACAGATCAATTCTGGTACTTTAGTATGATTTAAAACACTACAGTATTGAGTATTAACTAGTGGTTTTGTTTATGTGGAAGGCAATAGCAGCATTAGTGTTTGATTGAGACGCCCATAATGGAGAATGTGGTTTACTGTGTTTCCTCAGTGAAACATGTGTCCTGTCTCTTCAATGAACACTTGACACAATAGTGTCTTGATCTGCAGCATTTAGTCGTGACCCGCAGCACACATGAAAGAGCTTGAGGACAATGACCCGAACATCAGCAGCTCCATCACTAGGCAACTAGTCAACAGTGTTGAGAAGCGCAGCAGCAGGTCACCACTGAGATCTGCTCATTACCGCCGGTTACCATAGCAAACATTACTGTTACCAGGAGATCACGGCCTACCTGTTCTGCAGAGTATGCAGAGACTATATCAGGGACGATATGAGCAGGTGTTTCTTAAAGAGCTCCAAATAATCACTTAGTATAGAGGCTTTATATATTATCAAGAGAGGATAAAAGAAGCAGGTAATATACCGTTGATATACAAATATAATATATATTAGACATGTATAAACATTTAGAGCATAGAAACTAACTCAACACGAGCTCAGTGTCCAGTGAGAGTCCAGCTCATTATCACACAGCGGCAGAACGTCTGTCCTGTGTTGATCTTCAGCGAGGCTCGATCAGCAGATTCTCCTGATCAATGAAAGCAGAAGTGTCGGTCACTGCAGCTTCTGGAGCACCAGGAAACTCCAGATGAGGAGGGATTTAATACTGGCCGATGTTGACAGAACACGTTTATCTGTCTCTGCTGCTCCAGAGGAAATGAGGCTGTAAAACCTGACCCTGACCTGCAATACTGCATTTACTCGAAGAGGAGGAGCTAATTAGTGCTTAATTCTGCAGTAGATCCAAAGGAGATCAGAATGAGGAGGAGCTGCTGATGAAGGGGAGGAGCTGGTGATGAAGGGGAGGAACTGATGATGATAAAAAGGAGGAGCTGGCGATGATGAAGAGGAGGAGCTGCTGATGAAGGGGAGGAGCTGGTGATGATGAATGGGAGGAGCGGCTGCTGATGAAGGGGAGGAGCTGATGATGATGAAAAGGAGGAGCTGGCGATGATGAAGGGGAGGAGCTGTTGATGAAGGGGAGGAGCTGGTGATGAAGGGGAGGAACTGATAAAGATGAAAAGGAGGAGCTGGCGATGATGAAGAGGAGGAGATGCTGATGAAGGGGAGGAGCTGGTGATAATGAATGGGAGGAGCGGCTGCTGATGAAGGGGAGGAGCTGATGATGATGAAAAGGAGGAGCTGGCGATGATGAAAGGGAGGAGCTGTTGATGAAGGGAAGGAGCTGATGATGAAGAATGGGTGGAGCTGCTGTTGATGTAGGGGAGGAGCTAATTATGAGGAAGGGGAGGAGCTTTATAGTGCATTAATACTTTTAAAGTCTCACTGGAAATCTAATTCAGGAGGTGGTGTATTTGTAAGGATGCACTCTTTGTAAATTAATAAAACATAAAATAATGAGTGGGATGAACATTACTGGGAGATGAAAATACACCTCCTCCAGTGAATCCAGCAAGCTGAACGCGGGTCCAGATCTGCAGACGTGTGCTGGTGGTCGGTTCTGCAGTGCTCTCCTCATTTCTGCTGAATGAAGAGCTCTGACCCTGAAAGACGGAGCGCATGGCAACCGTTACCAAGAGGAAGTGGAGGAGACTTTCAGATCCAATCTCAGAAAAACCACACACTGAAGGAGAAACACAGCTCTGCTCATCTGGAGAAACATTCATTCATTCATTCATTTTCAGCTTAGTCCCTTTATTAATCTGGGGTCACCACAGCGGAATGAACCGCCAACATATCCAGCAAGTTTTTACGCAGCGGATGCCCTTCCAGCAGCAACCCATCTCTGGGAAACATCCACACACACTCATTCACATGCACTACTGACAATTTAGCCTACCCAATTCACCTCATGTGACTGGGGGAAACCGGAGCACCCTGAGGAAACCCACGCCAACACGGGGAGAACATGCAAACTCCACACAGAAACACCAACTGACCCAGCCGAGACTCAAACCAGAGACCTTCTTACTGTGAGGCGACAGCACTACCTACTGCGCCACTGCGTCGCCCTGGATAAACAGCAGAGAGTAAATCTGCCTCATTAGTTTGGATCTTCATAAGTGTTGAGGGTTTGACTCTCCTGAACCTGGAGGACCGCTGCCTCACAGGGGCTCTGTATGTGTTATTTACTGCCCATGACGGAGTTTCCACCGTTAAATATGCAGCTTTACGGCACACGCCGCACACACACCGAACTGTTTATGAAGAGTGATGCTTCACAGAGACTGGGTTTCATCCACATGACAGTTTGAGCTCTGCAGAATCAATAAAAGCTGCAAATAACATCACGTCTGGACCGTAAAAATAGTCCAGAGAAAGCAGATCCCGGAGAAGCAGAGGCCCAGCAACTGAACAACACTCACAATACAACATCTTCTGCAGTCAAGAAATGTTATTTGGTGTTTGAGTTGGCGGTTCATTCCACTGTGGCGACCCCAGATTAATAAAGCGACTAAGCTGAAAAGAAAATGCATGAATGAATATGTTAGAGATTGATAATAATCATAATTTGCTATTATTTTTGTAATTAATTACAATAACAACACTAATAAGAAAAGTTTCTCTTACACACACACACACACACACACACGCACACACACACACACACTATGACTGATAGCGGTTGATTATCTGAAATCCTCCAGCCGCTCCTGCATTATATGACCCTGGTGCTGTTTCAGCGGTGATCTTCAGCCCTCGTGTCGTCGGTACTTCTCTATTCTCTGTTTACCCTCCAGGTCCAGAATAACCCGCCTTCACTGCACCTGCAAACTACAGCAGACCAGTTTCCTTACACTCCTCAAATCTGCTGATCATGAAGACACAAGCTCATCTTCATCACATGTCATAGTGTGTGTGTGTCATGATGTGTCTGTGTGTAAAACAGTGTGTGTGTGTCTGTTTATACTGTATGTCACAGAGTGTGTGTTTCTGTGTCATCGTATTTGCTGTGTGTGTGTGTCCGTTTGTATGTCACAGTGTGTATGTGTGTTTGTCTGTGTGTGTAACAGAGTGGCATAGTGCCTGTTTGTGTGCCATAGTTTTATGTGTGTGTGTCAGTGTGTGTGTGTGTGAGTCTCTGTGTGTTGGTTTTTCAGTGTGTGTCTGTCAAAGTGTGTGTTTATGTGTGTCACAGTGAGTGTGTGTGTCTGTGTGTGTGGGGACACGTGTGTATGTCACAATGTGTGTTTGTGTCTGTCTGTGAGTCCCTGTTGGTGTGTGTAACGTGTGTGTGTGTGTGTGTTTTGTGATTGTGTGTCACAGTGTGTGTGTATGTGTGTCTGTGAGTCCCTGTTGGTGTGTGTCACGTGTGTGTGTGTGTGTGTGTACGTGCCGTGTCACAGTGTGTGTGTGTGTGAGTGTGTGTGTGTGTGTCTGTGAGTCCCTGTTGGTGTGTGTCACGTGTGTGTGTGTGTGTGTGTGTATGTGGCGCGTCACAGTGTGTGTGAGTTGCTGTGTGATTGTCTGTCACGGTGTGTGTGTGTGTGTGTGTGAGTCCCTTTTGGAGTGTGTCACGTGTGTGTGTGTGTGTCTTTTGTGATTGTGTGTCTGTGTGTGTGTGTGTGTCTTTTGTGATTGTGTGTCTGTGTGTGAGTGTGTGTGTGTGTCTTTGAGTCCCTGTTGGT